AAGAACTTCCAGCAGCTAAACAAGAACATCATATCTGGGGGGCTGTATCACAAAGAAGAATTTACTTGAATCATCGCAGAGAACATGGAAGATCATCATCTGAGATTTAAATCAGATCCATCAGAAAATAATTTAAAAACTATAGTCTGTGAGACGGGTCTCAGATCCCAGAACATTGACCTTTGCTTAAGTCCAACTGGATCAGGAGCAGGAGGAGAAGAGTGAAATGCAATACAGCAATCACAAAATCAAAGAACAGCAAGTTCACAACGCAAGAGAAAACGCTAATCACCTCTTTAATTAACATGGAAAGTTAACATCAAAGCAGCCACATCACTAAACCGCAAAGCATCGAATAGCTTTACAACTTAGAAAAATCTTTTTGCCCCGCAGCCGTCAACGGAAACAACCGGAGAGCAAAAAAGTGCACTACAACAATGCATGTTCACACTTAAATGAAAAGTATAAACTTGAATGAATTAAGTATGCTCAAAAACAACTTCATCAATAAAAACACAATAAGCCTGCTTCCAGATTAAACTGGAGCTTTAATCCATGTTTGTGAAAACGATGACCTCATCGCACACACACATCCATGTCTGTTTTTAATATTTGAGCACATTCATGACACGTCAGTTCTGAAACTTGGAACAGGCTCAATGTGAGAAATCTACAATTATCAACAGCAGTATTTACAATAGCCATTGTGTTACTCTTTTAAACAGAGCAAATATTTAATGTTTCATATAGATGCTGCAATATTTCCAATAGCCCATGATGGATCAAACATGTCCCTGGATCTCTGTATTCCTGACAAGACAGTCAGTACCAGATTAGTAAGTATAATCTATACTTAATAGAAGTATACAGAGAATCGTTGACCGGAATTTAGCTTTTGTTTTTAAATCTGGAATGACAAAAGCTACTGTTCTGTTTCATAATTTATAAATATAATTGAGAAACTGCACAAAATGTTGACAATATGGCCACAAACTGAAGACCTGTTTGAGCTTCACTATTTAAATTGACTATGCTGTAACAGAAGATTGTGGTCCAACAAATTCAACAACATAGTCATGCATCACATTCCTTCGTTGTCATTTAAGGTGGAAAAAACTGGAAAGTGCAAAATGCATTAGCGCTGCGACATTAGCAAGTCTAAAAACACGGGGGAGAACGAAAGCGATACTTCCCAAAGCATAAGCATGCTCATTAATGACAAGTTAGGTCTGATTACCGTAATTTCTGGACTATAAGGCTCAACTCCAGTGCTCTTCACTGCTTCTGTTAATTCAGTAAAGAGGATAAAGGAAAATTTTAAGGAGTCTAGTCCAACTAGTGAAATTTAAGGAGTGATTATTTATTTGTACACCTTAGTCCATCTGTTTCTAGTGGGTGGCAGACCAGTTTCCTGTTGCACAATAGATGGTCAAATACATTGTTTCTGTGGCTCTGTTTGTCACACAGAGATGAAGTAGTGGCAGAGCAGCCGACTCCAAACTCAAAGGTCCTGGGATCAAACCCCAGTCATTCCGACATTCACCTGGGAGTAGAGGGGTTAGCCATTGTATGGGAATATGCAATGATGCCATTAAGCACTTAATATTTTTATTATTATTATCTGAAGTGAAAAAAATAATAATTTTGATGTAGAAAAGACGTTTATATTGACCGTCCAGTGGACGTCTAAAAATTGACATCATCTGGCGTCACAGTCTGCACCGGCGACGGACCAACATTAGACGGGCAAAAAAGACGATTAGACGTTTTCTTGCTCAGTGGGAAGGACCCTCCCTCCCATTTTTCTTAAAGAGACACACTGCTCAACTATCCATCCTTTGGTTCAAACAGTCTTATACTGCCATCAGGTGGTCAAAAAAGGTACTACACCCCAAAAAATAATTTATTCTAAAATTTGTCTATTAATTATTGTTAAATTTTAAACAATATTATTGTTTATTGCAATAATTTCTGAGACAATTAATCATCCAGCAAAATTTGTTATCGTGACAGGCCTAATGAATTGTGCATTTAAAGTAACACTCTAAAGAGCTCGGTGGGAGGCTTGGATGACTGGTGGCGAGAAATTGTTTAGCAAAACTGGCCACATGTGCAAAGCAACATTTGTTCAAGTCTGCCAGTGGTTCCTGACAGCGGAGCAGTGTAACAAAATCCTCTATCACCGACAGGTTTCGAAAGGCTGCTGTGTGTTGAAAAGAGCAACACAAGCTCAGTGCACAGGAGGAAGATGAAGAGCAGTGACTTCCTTGTAGGCTACTGTATTTATTTATTTGTTTTAACAAGCCGTGTTACAGGCACTGTTCAGAAAAAAAAAATTACTGTACGTACAGTTTTGCGTATGTTACAGGTACATATTTAATTAAAAGTTAAAAAAAAAAAAATCTGTGTAAACATCTCATGTTTACAACGTGGACACCCGCAGCTTATAGACAAGTGTGGCCTATATATGTATTTTTTTAGTGGGCGCAGCTCATATTCTGGTGCGCTCAATAGTCCAGAAATTACAGTAATTAGAAAAACCCTCAGGTATGTAAGAGTCACAAATAGACTAAAAGACAAGAAAAATAAACTTGTCTTTGAACTGAAAGCGATTACCAACTTAAGGTTTTTGTGGAAACGATGCAAAAACAAAAGAACGAGGAGCTCTAGCTGCAAAGCAGTGACACCAACCACAAGTCTCGCGAGGCGTGTTTTTACTCACACGTTTTGCTAATCGAGACAATCAAGTCTATAAGACTTCCTCACTGAACAAATACTGTCACTGCCACTACGAGGAGACAGAGGTGAACTCACTATTGATATAATTAGGTTGTATTATGCTAATCTATGAGGGATGTTGGTCATTTTCAATGGGATTTTTGTGATGGACAAAAAAAAAAAAGAAATTAAATTTTGAATTCTGGTTCCTGAACGATTAAAGCGGTTTTGGTTTTATATATGAAGGTAATGATAAGCCTGTAGCATGCAGAGGCACTGAGTTTAAAGAGTTTATAGGCCTGCTGTAAAAATTCTCTGGGCATGCTTATATTTCACTCAAAATCTGCATTTTCTGTTCAACAAAATTAGTTCAAAACTTCCAAAGGAAGCTTTTTTTTTTTTTTTTTTCATTTAGTTGCATTACTAAATATACTGCACCAATCCTTTATCCATACACAGTATATCGTAATTTCTTCATATCTTTTGTATACATGTGAACATTCCATGCAGCATACAAAACCTTCGCTTTGAATAACGTTGTATAGAAAGCAAATGGAGATTTTCCACGACAGAACACTGCTCGTTTTTATTTTACCATTCCACTTCCAGGGTTTTAACAACGCCCAGTAATGCAAGTCAAAACCATACGGTGGCGTTCTGCAGGGAATGTTTCCATTACAATACTGTTTGCAGCTCTCATAAAAGCACTGGCCTTGCATTACCAACCAGTATCGGCAAAGGAAAAGTACTTTAGCAATTGCTTTGCACCTAATGAAGCACATACTCAAGTCAGCTTGACACATGTGCCCTTGTCTTCATATCCACCATTGACTTTTGAATACTTCCATCGTGCACAAGGATCAGTTTGCGGCTAAAAACTCCTCCTGAACAGCCATGTTCCGACACGACATGAAAGCGATTTCTGTCAATTTCATTAAAGTGTTCATATCACACAAGATGTCCAGCATTAGTTTCAGGTAACATTTTACTTTAACTTCATGCACTTTTGTTCTTCTGAACTTCTTGGGATAGAATAATCAGCAACTGGTTTGACTAAATTACAGCTTTGTACCTTATTAAAACAGCAAATGCAGATATAACAGCTTAATTCTAAGTATTTGTGAAGTGTAAACATTCCCAGGTTTAAGTAGACTGTTATTTAGTAGTTACTATATTAAAACATCAGTCAAGGTATAAAATGCAAGTTTGTGGCAATAGGCAGGGAAAGGAACACCATCCCTGCATTTGGAGTTGGGGAGACCTGAGGTGTAATTTTGCAATGATTGTACAGATCTTGCATCTCTTATATAACTATATAGTTTGTAACAAAAATAATGAGGACAATGTGATACACAGGACGGTTAAATAGCTAAAGCAACAGTTTGATGGATTTACCATGAAAGTACTTGGCTGTCCGTCCAACGAGTTTTTTTGTCTATTATCTCTACTGCGCTACTCTGGTTTAAGTCTTCAAACTGATTTCTAATATATTTCAATTATCTTACAGTCTAGAAATGGATCTTAATAATTCATTTGCACATATTATGTATATTCAATCTCCAATGGCTCAGTGGAGTCAAGGCAACTACATTAAAACATGTTAAGTCATGGCCAGCTCATTTGATTAAAAAAAAAAAAAAAGGAAAACAATGAAAATGATTTATTTACATAAAGGACGTCCACTCGACAAAAATAATCTTTGCTTTCAATACACAGTTTGTGTGTTTGTAAGAAACAGTGTGACATTTGGCTGATTAGACGCTCATCAGGGTGGCTGAGGCTACAGCTGCCCAGACGGCGTCAATGACACAAATGACTTCTAGAAGAATCGGTGTGTTTAGAATTATGGCATTTCACTGAATATGGCTAAGGAGCTTGAAGGTCAGGGCACTGGTGCTTGGAGGCAAGGTTGGTCTCATAGGGCTCATAGGACAGTGGGTAAGAGGGGTAAATCAGGGGTGGAGGGAAGACGTTCCACTGTTCTACTGCTCGCCCATTTCGGCGAGGTCAGAGTTGGAAGGCGGCGTGGACGACTCAAGGTGGTTAGACATGGCTAACTGGTCCGAGAAAGAGCTCTGGGGAGATGGACTCTGTGCTGGGTCAGGAAGGGTCAGGGTTTCAGGAGCGGACTTTTTGCGAGGTCGATCCTTGGGAACAGAGAGAGACTCGGGAGCATCAGTGCACATGGGCGTTGATGGGGCGCTGGCAGGGCCAGTGAGAGCACAGGGGGACAGGGGCATCCCACTTATGGAGATGGACGGGGGGATTACCCCAATCTTCTGGTTGGTGGCCTCCTGGATGGTGCGCTCAAACTCTCTCACTTCATCCATTGTCATGTCTGGAAAGGAAAGAGTTCAAAACATACGAGAGTCAGCGAGACCGGTGTTTCCCACTTTAAAAGCGTGATCATGTTTATTTTAATGTTTCTGCAATAAACTGTATAGCTTTACAAAAAAAAAAAAATAACCTAACATTAACACTGCAAGTATTTAGAAAATAAGGTTAAAATTTAAATACAACCACCCCCATACATTTTAACCCAGTTTATGATTTTCTTTAAGACTAGTAGAAAAAAAAAAAAACTTGTAAGAAAGGTTGACACACGCACCTGATTCACTGTGATTTATTAACTGAAGGTGTTTCAGAGTGTTTGTTTATAAGTTGTTGTTTTTTTTCTTTTTTAATCTTGTTTACTTTTTTAGTTCTGTATCTTCTGCTTCTTTTGGCTTTTCCCTCCTCAGGGGTTGTTACAGCGAGTCATCCTCCTCCATCTCACTCTGTCCTCACTCCAACTACCTCCATGTCCTCTCTAACTGCATCCATATATCTCCTCTATATCTTTTTCCTGGCAGCTGCATTTCTAACATCCTTCTACCAGTATACCCACAGTTCCACCTCTGGACATGTCCAAACCATCTCAGTCTGGCCTCTCTAACTTTATCTCCCAGTTGCTCAACCTGTGCTGTACCTCTGATGATATCATTCCTAATCTTATCCATCCTCGTCACTCCTAAGGAGAACCTCAACATCTTCAATTCTGCCACTTCCACTTCTGTCTTTTTGTCCATGTCTCTGTCTCCAGACCATACAACATAGCTGGTCTCACCACTGTCTCGTAAACTTTTCCTTTGACCTTTGTTACCACCCTTTTGTCACAAATCACTCCTGAAACTTTTCTCCATCCTGCCTGGACTCTCTTTTTCATCTCTTTACCACATTCCCCATTTTCCTGGACAGAAGACCCCAAGTACTTGAAGACCTTTGTGACCTCTGCTCCTTGTAGCCTCACTGTTCCACCGGCCTCCCTCTCATTCACACACATGTACTCTGTCTTACTACGGCTGACTTTCATTCCTCTCTTTTAAATTTGTGTATTCTTACAAAAGCATCATTTGTAGTAAACACTGAGAACAGGAATACACTTAAAAGCTTTTTAAAAAAAAAGTAACACCCTCCAAAATAATCACGTTTTTCCCCCAAATAATTAATTTCTGTACATTCAAAATGTATATTTTCCAAGCCTCTTTGCATAAGTAAATAAAAGTAGCTATAAGAAATAAAATGTTTAAAATGGTACATACTGTATATGGTATTTAGTCCTTAGGATTTATAGTTTAAAAGTTTCTATTCTTAAAAACTGCAGAAATGTACTGTATATAGTCGGGACAGGGCAGGATGAAACAAAGACCATAGATTCAAACACTGACAACAAGTCATATGTTTAATAAGCCACCATTTTTACGTCTGTGATGCTTTTATGTTATTTCTGCACCAAACACTTTGATGTAAACCTTTGGTTTTATCTTCATTCAGGATTTAACAGTCTGACTCCGTTTAAGGCCGAACGAGTGGATATACGATAACTTATAACAGCAAACAACTAAAAATAATGAGAGAACAAAGCAAAACAACATGAATGAAGCAAACAAGGAAAATGGCGCGTACACTTGCTGTGTCATGGATCTCTATGTCATCCAGTGCAGATGGGTTTGTTGTGGAATGCTCTTGCTGCTCATGGCAAACTTTAATGTTGGTTTTCTCATGCATTTTTCTCTCGTAACCCCGCACGTCATCCAAAGTCATATCTGCAAGAAGTGGGTAAGGGTGCAACGAGGGTCAACATGTTGTTACTCATCCACAAGGGTGTTCCATTTATGAGTCAGATAAGGGAAAGGTAGGTAAGCGTTGTTAAGGATAAAGATTCAGGAGGTTAAAGCGAGCTTCCCAGGGCCCCAAAGAGAATGCGGGAAAGAGCAAGACCACACAAGGAGGGAAGTTTGAAATGGCCAAGGAAGATTTCAGCTCAAGGTTAAGCAAGAGGAGGCTGAATCATTGAAAGCACAAAGGAGGAACCTACAAATCCACTTAATCCACAAGCAGAAACCGTTCCATGTAGGAAAGAAACATCCAGGTTAGAGGAAGGAGGGAGTGTTAGTGAGTATGGAGAGGTGTGAAACATGCTTCATGTCAAAGATAAAAGGATTACGTTCTATGTGTCCTACAGCTATGGAAACAGCTGAAAGAGCTGAAAGTACGGTCAGCAAATTATTTGATTTACCATAAACACTTGTTTACGATTCAATTCAAACAAATTAATAAATTCATTTTGTTTTTTGCAAAACATGAAGGAATGCTGCCTTGTTTTTTTTTTTTTTGGTTTTGTTTTTTTAATTACCTAAGCAAACTGATTATGTGCAAGCATTAACAGAGTTTGTTCCAAGTTAGGGTTCATGCCGTAGGAAAAGAAGCAGGATTGGCGGTGACAGAGCTAAATGCAGGTGGGATGATTACTCGTGCATAAATTATAACAAAGACTGCTGTGATACAAACAATCCAAAGAGTGAAAAGTATTAACATTTGAAAAAGGCAGTAAGCTGTAGCACGATTACTACCGTATTTTCCGGACTATACGTCAACACATTTTCCTTGTTTGGCAAATCCTGCGACTTATGTATGTTTTTTTTTCCTCTTCTTGAGGCAGTTTTTGACTGATGCGACTTGTACTCCGAAGCGACTTACAGTCCGGAAAATACGGTAGTGAAGGATTTGTAAAATACTATGCATGTAGACATACCGATCCACTCATCAACCCAAGCAAAAGCCTGTCTGTGTCCCAGCAGCAGCACATCTCGAACTACCTGAAAGCACAAGACAGATGGCCCAACATTTTCTTTAAACCTCATTTTTACTGAGCACAATATTTATACGCAATTTAAGGTAGCAAAGAAAAGCACAAGGAGGAATGTGGGGAGTGTTTCGTCGGGACATAAAAGCGTTCTGGACGATGACAGAGAGAACAACAGTCACAAGCTGTTTACCATGAAGTCAATCTGACCAAACAAATGAGCTTTTCTGGTTCCTGCAAACATTTCTGTCAAACAATATACTGTACACGTTCAAAATGGAAACAGACATAAGCAGACATTTCGTTTTGTTTTATTTTTTCACCCGTTGTACGTTTTAAAACACAGCAACTTTAACATCAGCAGCACACGACTTTCTCATTCAGAGATTTTCAACAGAGTGGGGAAAACATGGACCGTTCTGAAAAACAGCCTAAACAGTAGTCCCTCACTTTTCGTGGGAGTTATGTTCCAGACACCCCCGCAATAGGTGAAAATCCGCGAAGTAGGGACGTTATATTTATTTTAGTATTTATATGTCTTTTAAAGCTTTATAAACCCTTCCCACACTCTTGCAATGTTCTTAACAATGAACTCTCTCAAACATATGTGTCAAACTCAAGGACCGGGGACCAAATGTGGCCCTCATTGACATCTTATCTGGCATTCAAGATGTTATTTTAAATGTAAAATACTTTAATCACTTGATTTTTTTTCAGTAATCTTTGATTATGATGTCAAAAGTGCAACAGAGAACGTCGAATGAGACCCATAAGATTATTTTTGAGGAACCTGCAACCAAGAAAAAATGTTTGGTATCTAACTTGAGTTAATGTAGATTCTGAAACCGGCCCTTAGTTTGAAAAAGGTTTTAATTGTGGCCCCCTTTTGTAAGTGGGTTGGACACCCTTGCTCTAACCGCTCTATAAGAGCACAGCGTGTCATGATCTCTGCTCTCTGCCACGCCCACTTCTCTGCAATCACACTCATGCTAATCACCTGTGTCACTCCCAATCTCCCTCATGCTATTTACACCTGTCTTCCATGCAGGTGCATGGAAGAGAGGTGTAAATAAACAATTTAAATTTAAATAATAGTTTAAATAAACAATCCATGCCGCTCATGCGGTTTATTTAAAATAATGAAGCGGGACCCGCTCGAGCTTTTAGTCCCCCTCGGCGAACATTGAGCGGGCCAGGCCACCGGGAAATGTCCTGGTGCTCCCGATAGCCATTCTGTCCCCGAATCTCCCTCCTGCTGCACCGACCTGCGTGCTGCGCTTTATTTTTTTTATTTTTTTTGTGCACTGCACTTCTTAAGCACTCCCCAGTCTCTGCCTCCCTGCCAGATTGTCTGATCGCCTCGTGTCTGAAGTATTCAGTGTTCTTGTTCCTGCTCTCGTTCCTGACCCACTTCATGACCACGGATTCCTCGACCTTTGCCTCGTCCAAGATGGATACTTCTGTCCATCAGATATCTGAACCTCGACTTCTGCTCTACCTTCAGACCACTGATTCCAGCTAAACCCCACGGATATGTTTAGCTTTTCCTGCCTCTGTGTGACCCACACCTGTATTTTTGACCATAAACTCAGACCCCGGACTCTACGAGATGAGCTCCCTGAACCGAGCTCCACATTCTGAAGAGTGTTTGTCAGACCTTCCAGGCTACGCTTACATATCACATGATCCATCCAAACCTCCTTTCCCTCTGACGTCATCGTAGCTTTGGCTTCTCCGCCTGTGGTCGAGTTCTACAGAGTGACAGGTAACTTTATCCTCCTGATAAAACTTTAAACAAATACTTTTGTTCACTCCTGCGTGTGGATGAATTTCCGGTTGCCCTAGTTATTCATTACACAGTGAAACGGTCTCTTTCTTTCGCTCTTTATGTCCAAAGAATTTGAGTAGAAAGAAGAATACATATCATAGATCAGCACATCGACGTACACTGATAAAAAACTCATTTAGGTTCAGATGTAATGAAAAGATCCAACACGAACTCTCACCTTGTGTACAAACTGCTCTACTCGGGTCTGAAGACCCCACACCTCAAACTTGACTGTGACCAGTTTGTATGAGCACATGATGGGGTCCTGTGTGTCCCTCCAGCCTTCCTGCAGCATGCCCCTTGACGTCTTCTCAGACTTGAAATACCGCAGGTCCTGTCATTGTAAAGAAACACCTAAATTAAGTCATATTTCTACCAGCCAGGTTCATGGAAAATCCCAATCTAGGCCCATTAAAGTTAACAAAATTGTTTTTATTGATTATTATCTCGCTGAACTATGATAAAAAGGCTTTTCAAATGATGTGACAAACTGGAGTGGTATTTGAAGAAGCACAAGCAGGAAAAAAACAACTAAAATTGAACGTCACACTATTTTACATTAGGAAAGAGAAACTGTTGTTTACACCAGCCTCATATTTATACCTAGAGGTCATAAGCATCTACGCCCACACACACTCACCTCTGACTCTTTATAGTAGCGCTCAGGGATTTCATCGTAGACGATGTCAACAAAGCACACCTCCCTCTCTTGGTCCTTCAGTTCGGTTTCAAAGATCTGTAAAGAGCATAGATATGTTTTCAAATATTCACTGAATATTCTTCATCCCAGTTAAACCACTACATAGGAGCCGTAATGTTAGACTGAATTATCCCAAAGCTGTTCTTTCAGACATGCGTCCTTACAGCCAGTAGAGGTCCCTCTAAACTCACATCTAAAGTATTGTCAGCTGATAATGCGAAAAGTAGAAGTCTTCTGCTTTGCTGTCGTTTTGTGCGTTTTTATTTGTTACCCCACAATGTCCTTTATACTGATGACTATATGGACTATATTGAACTGATTTACAATGTATGCAGTAGAATTAAAGCATTAAATATTTAGCTACTTCTAAGTTCATCATGACTTGAAGAGTGACAGAATTAGTGATGAAAGCAAAAGGTAAATAGAACAAAATCAATATTTGCCTCGTCTCTTTTTCTGCTAAATGAGAAACCAGTGAATACATAAGACTAAAAACTTAAGTCAAGCCAGTTAAGAAAAAGCATACTTTGGGACAAAAAAAAACAAAAAACTAATGGTAATTTGTAGAAAAAAACAGCATAAATTGCCTATATTGTCTCAAAATCTAATTCATATTTTGCTGTGCTCAAACACTGACCTTGATCAGATCAAGCTGGTTTTTCACTGACTGATATAGCTACAGAAACAGACTAGAAAACATATTTTACAACACATGATACATTATATTAGATTTATTGGATTGCATTATTTTGGATCACCAACCTTTAAAAAAAGTGCACATTTTCTTACACATCCAACCTTTTACTATTCATTTATCCACAACTTGCCATCATCTGCTTTAACATCCTTTTTTATCCCATTACTCTATCCTTCCCTGCTTATCTCAGTTTAGTCAGTCTTTCACTTGTCAGAGCTTGTGCACACAGTCCAAGACACGGCAGATGGACGGACACATATTGTGTCATAATAGACAAGTGGGGGCACGAGTCTTGCTGAGAGCCCTGGTTTTGTTTTCACGATTCATATTAAATATTAAAAAACAACAAATTGACACACAGCTGTGCTCTTGTCATTGCTCTGCATCATGACACGTCTCTCACTTGGAAACTTGTTACACAGATTCGAAAGATGAAAAGACTGTTAAGTCATTTTCCCAAACGCTTTTATACAAAGTAGCGCAGCTGTCTTATTATCGATGTTGGATAAATGAGCGTGTCTGCAGGATTACAGCCAAAGCACTGTACTGCACCTCAACTCCCATCCAAAGGCCTTTCAATCAGTCTGCCCTCTGATCAGAATAACAAACATATTTATGCAACAGCTTTCCCTTTTCATCCATGAAGGGCAGTGGCTGAAGTTTTTTAAAACTCAAACTGGATGTCCGTTCTGGTCCACCAAATGACGTGTAAACTGTTCCGACTCATCAACAGGGACACTGAGAGCCAGTCTCACTGCATACACTGCCAAAGCACAGGCAGGTGTTACAACATGAAGCAGATGTTGAAAAAAACTTTTTGGCCACAAACTGCAGCACAACATATTTCAGGCTTTTTATTCCTCACAGTCCAAATACTGACCCCCATATAAAGAGTATGATGTACGTACTTGGCATTAAAATATGTGTCAAATTCAAGGCCCGTGGGCCAAATCTGGCCCTCGTTAACATCTTATCTGGCCCTTTAAGATGTTTTAAATGTAAAATATTTTTTAGCGTCTCTCCCCGTTATTCTTGCTCTCGGTGTGCAGACGTCTCAGGACAGTTTGTTAACTTGAAGGCAAAAACAAAAAGGTTGAATTTTTCAGTAAACTTTCATTTTGATGTGGGAAAAAAGCAACAGAGAACATCAAATGGGACCAGTTAAACTCTTGTTGATGAACCTGCAACCGAGAAAACATGTCGGCTATCTGACTGGAGTTAGTGTGTTAGTGTGACTGAAATTGGCCCTTGGCTTGTAACAAGTTTTTAATTTTGGCCCCCTTTTGTAACAGAGTTTGACTCCCCTGCTACAAAATATCAGAAACTGTATAGTAGCGGCACGGTAGCTCAGTCAGTAGAGCTGTTGCCTCTCAACAACAAGGTCACCGGGTCAAATCCTGGCCCGAGGCCTTTCTGGGTGGATGTTCACCCATGCATGGGTTTTCTCCAGGTATTCCAGTTTCCTCCCACAGACCAAAAACATCCATGTTAGACTGTTTACTCTAATGGATGTTTGGATGGATGGATGAAAACTGTATACAATAGTCCCTCGTTTATCGCTGGGGAGCCGTACCCTGAAGCATGTAGTAATAGTAGTACAAGTAGTAAGTAGTAGTTTATTTTAGTGTATATATATATATATATATATAAGCATTTTAAACCATTCTGACACTCTTGCAATATTGTAAACAATGTTTCTAAACTCTAAACACTCTAAAAGAGCTAGAAGAGCACAGAATGTCATGATTTCAGCTCTCTGCCTCCAGCTGCTCTCTGTCATCTGCCAGCGCTCTCGGCCACGCCCACTTCTTCACTGCAGAGCAGAGATATGACACGCTGCAGGAGGAAGCTTCTCCTGCAGCTGTGGGCTGCACACAAATGCAGGAGAAGCTAAATAATTTAAAATAATTAATTTTATATAAAATTCCATGCCGATCGTGCGGCTCATCCATCAATCAGCCAATTGTGTGTCATGTTCAATCTTATTTTGAAAAACCGCGATAGATCGAGTCCTCGAAAAACAAACCGCAAAGTAACGAGGGACTACTGTACTTAACAAGATGTTTTACTTCAGCAGCATTTGCAGGGATCATTTATGCCATGAGCTACAGTCTTTAAAAAAATCTGCGTCTTTTTGGTTTTACTCTTTCCAAATGAGGTAAAAAAAATTAATAATAATAATACAAGCAGCAGTCTTTTATTGAGATGAAAGATCTGAGCTGAAGCACAGTCAATTAGACTGTGTCTCCAGACTGACAGTAAACGCAGCGGAGAGTCCACCGAGGAAAAAGATCCAGAAATAGTGACGAGCTGTAATTAAGAAGTCGGATTTAAAATCTTCAACTTGGCCTACGAAGCTTTCCCACAATTTTTTTTGATTCTACCAGCTAATATGTTTCTTGCATGACTTTTAAACAAGTTCAGCAACAACACACCAAACAGACAACTAAGCAGGATTAACAAAGCACTTTTCTATCACTAATGACAGAAAAGGTTTGAGTCTATTTCAAACACATTCGAAATGAACCTAAACGTGACGAATGCAGTATCAGACCCCATCTGCCTTTAGGCCATCGGCAAGAGGAACACAGGAGGGATCACTTTTCCTGAAAAGTCAAACACAGCATCCAACAGACGATAGATAAAAGGTGCGCTTGCATCAAAGGGTGAGCGTTTGACTGCACAGAAATATCTACTCCACTCAAACCTGACTATGTACTTTACTTACGTTGTCATTGCTTCCTTTGTTGTCCTCGTATTTTGTCTCTATGTGGATGGAGAACTTGGGCAGGAATGAGCACTGTGGATTAAAAGACAAATATGTGAAGCTATTAGTGAAAAAATGTTTTCTTTATCATCCTGCATTTCAAAGGTTTTACTAGAAAAAAAAGACGAGTAAAGTGCATTCAATGGGAAGTTTGAACTTTTTGTGCTTTTTAGGGCAAGTTTATTTTATGCTTTCAGTTTGTGAGAGACTGTTTTTAAGCAGCTATTTTCTATGATTTGTTGCCTTTCAAAGTACTTTTAATCTCCAGAAACTGTCAAAGCTACAACCTGCATGTGTGTCTTTACAAACTGTACCAATCAAGCTGTCAAAAGGGATGGAGGACAACAAATCTTGGGACATTTTGCCTCTTTTGCCTATAAATACAAACTCTGCACATTGACTCATTTCTGAATACAAAATGCTCCTACACATGAACAAGCAAAGAATGTCAAGCATTTTGTTGCTGTCAAAGCATCATCGTCTCTCCCCGTTATTCTTGCTCGCAGTGTGACTCATGCTGTCCATATTTCTCACTCTGCACTACAGAGTATGGCTTAGCTCAACAACATGCAAGTGTGCTTTAGACGTCTCCGCTTGTTTAGCCATGGCTTCGTGAACTCTGCTGGCTTAAGGCAAAAACAAAGCGGGTACCTGCATTTTTCAGTGAGTGTGTGTATTTTATACGTTGAGCACTGAAGAAAGAATATGCAGCAAAGCCTTAGTATTTATTTGTGGAAGATGATTGGTGCTGTGGTTTAAACAACAGAAGGCAACATAATCTACTGCAGCAAAGAGACTACGGCTTCAAAAAGGAGTAGACAATTAAAGGTCTAAATGTGAGAATTCGATGCTAATTTGAGTCTTGTAAATCTTCGGATTTTTTCACCTAAATACTAAGTGACTCAGTTTAAATGAACAAACACAAATAGCGAATCATGAAAAAGTAAATAAAGGATTTTAGTTATGGTGATTAGGGAACAAATAGTAGTTCTAATTTTTGATTTGCATTATACTGCCACAAACCCTTCTGCAAACAATCAGTAAAACATCCAGTGCTCGTTGAGTTTTAGTGACTCGAGCTGCAGATACTTACAGTGTATTCTTTGGGTCAAAGCACGCAGAGAAAATGACCATCAGATAAAAGGAGTGGGGGAAGGGGAAGGGAAGAAGAAAAACAATTAGTTTAACTGTCTTAAATACGAGTCTGTGGTATAAATACAAAGGGAAGACCAAAACATTCAAGTAATGTTAGTTAAAAAAGTACTTTGATAATGACATCATCGAGCTGCTGTTTAATACACCGTATTATTTTACATTAATAGTGTTTAGCGTATATCTTAGATCCTTGTATACCGTTTCTTTTTATACTTTATATCGTTGCTATTTTTGGATGTAACTGGGATCCTGAGTACACCATTTTGTTCCACCTCATGTACCACATATGATGCAAATGAAAATAAAGATATTTGAACTTAATAATAAACTGCTTAATATGACTCTTAAAATATTTATTGGAATAACGTCTTCATCAAAACTCTTTTTATATAAATTAATGTTTAAAACACATTTTCATCCCCTCCTCATTTATTTGCTCACATCAAACAAACATGTTCCTCTTGTAATATTTCTCTTTAATGCTGAGACCTAATAAAACATCGTGGAAACATGTTCCAGCTGCTGGAGCAGCGATTGTTGCGTTTTGGATTATGGGTTCCTCATCATTTTGGTGATTCACATACAGAAGTTAAAAATCCACTCCATCTCTCTCTGATAGTGACTCAAAATAATCTAAGACATCAAACTCTTCATTAATGTCTGTGCTGTCGGACATGTACCGTAATTTCTGGACTATAAGCTGCTACTTTTTTTACAGACTTTGAACTTGGCGGCTTATAAAATGCTGCAACTAATTATTATTATTATTTCTTTTTGATGGGCTAACGAGCTTCATGTCACCAAAGCATTTAGCCTCGTCACACCTGGGCGCTCACATAGCTGCCCAATACACGTCTCTCTTGGGGGGTGGGTCCTCATGACTCAATGGGTATGTTTACATGGACATAAGTAACCGGATCAAATGGCCGGTTGGAATAAAAGTGTGTCATGTAAACACTCCGTTAGGGTTATTTTTTTGTGTATTCGGCGCGATCCGATATAATTTGTGATCAGAACGAAACGGGTGGTTTACAATACATTTGAATTATTCAAACAGAACACATTTCAATCCGGTCAAAGAATTCTGCGCATGTAAACATATCTAATGAGACTACCTGTAAAAAATGGTTATAAAAATGACCAATGAAATTACCGATCACAGTGGCCCAATGAAACTTGGCCTTATTGGTCCACTGTAGATCCCCCTCTCCCACCAGTTCTCTCCTCCCCTGCAGGAGTTTCCCTCCTCGATGTACACAAAGTATTTGCAGCCACTCAAAATAAGTGTGAGTCGTAGATCAAATCAAATCAAATTGTGAATTTGCCTCGAGATGAAAGTAACGTTGAGACAATGAAAGAGACACAGGACGTTCTGAGGCTGTTCAGTTCTGACACTGAAGAAGACGACTTTAGTGGTTTTAGTGCACAGGAGGAATGAAGATACTTTCTGGTAGGCTACAGTATATTTATATATATATATATATATATATATATATATATATGCATATATAGTTTTTTTTTTTAACCAGCCATGTTACAGGCACTGTTCAGAAAAACCCATTTACTGTACATATTTGTGTATGTTACCTGTACATATTTCATTAAGTTTAAAAAAATATATTTCTGTGTAAAAATCTCATGTTACAACGTGGACACCTGCAGCTTATACACAAGTGCGACCTATATAGGTACTTTTTTTTTCTTTTAAATTTAGTGGGTGTGGCTTAGGTGCGCTCAATAATCTGGAAATTATGGTAGTTATGCTCTGTTTAAATGCAGGTGATCACTTCCTGTTACTGCACATGTGAATATCTCAACAAGTGCTCATCTCAGTGTTGCGTTTTTTTTTGTTTTGCAATATGTCATTGTTATATTTTCTAAATTGCATTCATATTTATTACAAAAAGATTATACCTTATTGAACACTTCTGATCTATATTTCAGTCTATTGCTCTTTTCTACGGACATTTCACCTTTCATTAACATTTTGTTCAGGATACTATAAATAATCTTTATTTAGTTGTGACAACATTCACATCCGCCTTTACAATACTGCCTTTTTATCCCCAGCAGAGCCCAACAAAATGTTTTGCAAAGTGTTTCTAAAAATCTAATACACAATAATACACGACTGTGATGACTGCCATGTCAGTACGTGGTGAGCTTTGGGTTGAACCACCAACCCTTTATTTGAAGCGTTTTTCTACCAAAGCCAATGAAGTCCAAGCATCTGCATGAAACATTTGTGCCTCCCGGCGTTTAAACCTACAAATATCCTACAGAATTAAAAAATAAATACATAAAAAAAAACTGTGCAGCTGAAAACTGAGCCTAAAGCATACACCATATGCCAGGGAGTTCTCAGCGTAAGCGGTCACCATGAGGTTTCAACAAAATGTGTTAAAGATGAGCTGTGGAGATTAGCAGAATTGGATCACGTCTCTTCTTTTGTCTTCTCACACTATTTCAATGCGCTACAAACATCTAGGAAAGTGTTTGTACCATGTGGCAAGTGTTTGTACCGACAGTAAAATGCATCTCAACTTAAAAATTCACTGAAAACCAGCAGAAAAGGTGACCTTAAAAACAGCCCGGCGCTTCATGTGGCTGCACAGTCATTCTGTTTCTATACCTGGGAAGCACTTGAGAGGTAGAGTGTTACAGCAGGGCACTTTGTACAACAGCTGGATAACCTACAAAACGCATTTGCACCGTATACTCACCTGTAATGGTGTATGGGTAGTAGTTCCATGCCTTCTCTGTGACATAGAAGATTTTAGGAACCACTGCTCGAGCCCAGCTGGGTAATTTACTGCAATGAGACAAAAAGATAGGGAGATTAGGAGAGAAAGTGTGAGCGTGAACAATGGGAGGAGGCTGAGGAGTGAAATTGCCTTCTTTATCACAGCAATCAATAAAGTATTTGCTGTGCGCCCCACAAAAGAAAACAGTGAATTCAAGGAAAACGTGGAGGGGGAAAAAAAAAAAAAAGATTCTTAAACACTTTGATTTGAAGAAAGTGCCTTTTATCGAGAGACAAAAAAGCCCTTTTCAGACATGACGTTTGTGATTATCCTTATTATGTAGATTATTTAACATATTAAACATCTAGCTTTTGTCCTGTGATTTGCTATTATGCCTGCTTTAATCTATTAAGTCACGGGAGTTGACCTTGTCTTTGAAACACGTTTACATAACTAAAAGTTAAGTTTAGGAAATTTTACTTTGTGTAAACAAGTCTTTCTCAGTCATTATAATAAAGTCATGAAGTTCTACAAGGTTCTGTGTTTGGACCAACATATTTCAACTAATCAGTTTCAATTAAGTAGCATTATCAAACAGTATATTGTTTTGTTGCCATGCTCATTTAAGAAACCAGATAAAACCTGTTAAGACTCAAAACATCTCATAGATATTAAGATACAGTGTGACTTAATTGTGGCTTATGAATTCAAAAAAGGCAAAAGTCACTTTTGTATCTGAGCAATGTACAAACCGGATTCCAAAAAAGTTGGGACACTAAACAAGTTGTGAATAAAAACTGAATGCAATGATGTGGAGGTGCCAACATCTAATATTTTATTCAGAATAGAACACAAATCACAGATCAAAAGTTGAAACTGAGAGAATGTATCGTTTTAAGGGAAAAATCTGTTGTTTCCAAATTTCATGGCGTCAACAAATCCCAAAAAAGTTGGGACAAGTCCATTTTTGCCACTGTGTGGCATCCCCCCTTCTTCTTACAACACTCAACAAACATCTGGGGACAGAGGAGACCAGTTTCTCAAGTTTAGAAATAGGAATGCTCTCCCATTCATGTCTAATACAGGCCTCTAACTGTTCAATCGTCTTGGGCCTTCTTTGTCGCACCTTCCTCTTTATGATGTGCCAAATGTTCTCTATAGGTGAAAGATCTGGACTGCAGGCTGGACATTTCAGTACCCGGATCCTTCTCCTACGTAGCCATGATGTTGTGATTGCTGCAGAATGTGGTCTGGCATTATCGTGTTGAAAAATGCAGGGTCTTCCCTGAAAGAGATGACGTCTAGATGGGAGCATATGTTGTTCTAGAACCTGAACATAGTTCTCTGCATTAATGGTGCCTTTCCAGACATGCAAGCGCTCATGCAACCCCATACCATCAGTGATGCAGGCTTCTGAACGGAGCGTTGATAACAACTTGGGCTACCCTTGTCCTCTCTGGTCCGGATGACATGGCATCCCAGTGTTCCATAAAGAACTTCATATCCTGACTCATCTGACCACAGAACAGTCTTCCATTTTGCCACACTCCATTTTAAATGACCCCTGGCCCAGTGCAAACGTCTGAGCTTGTGGAGCTTGCTTAGAAATGGCTTCCTCTTTGCACTGTAGAGTTTCAGCTGGCAACGGCGGATGGCACGGTGGATTGTGTTCACTGACAATGCTTTCTGGAAGTATTTCTGAGCCCATTCTGTTATTTCCTTGACAGTGGCATTCCTGTTTGAGGTGCAGTGATGTTTAAGGGCCCGGAGATCACGAGCATCCAGTAGAGTTTTATGGCCTTGACCCTTACGCACAGCGATTGTTCCAGATTCTCTGAATCTTTTGATGATGTTATGCACAGTTGATGATGATAACTTAAAAGTCTTTGCTATTTTACGCTGGGTAACACCATTCTGGTATTGCTGCACTATGTTTCTGCGCAACAATGGTGGAATTGGTGATCCTCTTCCCTTCTTGGCTTCTGAGAGACACTGACACTTTGAGAAGCTCTTTTTATACCCAATCATGTTGTCAATTGACCTAATTAGTGTTAATTGGTCTTCCAGCTGTTCGTTATATGCTCAATTTCCTTTTTCCAGTCACTTATTGCTACTTGTCCCAACTTTTTTGGGATATGTTGACACTGTGAAATTTTGAATCAACATATTTTCCTTTAAAATGTTACATTTACTCAGATTAAACTTTTGGTCTGTCATCTATGTTATATTATGAATAAAATATTGACATTTGCCATCTCGACATCATTGCATTCAGTTTTTATTCACAATTTGTTTAGTGTCCTAACTTTTTTGGAATCCGGTTTGTAGGAACAAATTGTCCATAAATAAACAACCTTTTTAGTAATACTGTGAGGAACTTTAGCTATTTTTGACTTAAGGTTTTATTAACTTGCACATAAATAAGTTTGCCTTTCTTTTCATGTGCCCATTATTGCCTAATTTAAGACAATAGTTTGCCAGAGTGATGATAAAAACTTGTAATGTCTCTTATTTCCATGCTGGATTAATATGGGGGTTTTTTTTGTCTCTAAATTTAAAAAAAAAAAAGGCATTTGAAACGTATAAATTTGGATCAACTTGAGACAGCAGAATTGCTGGCTAAATCTAGCAAATATGTTCACATCTATTTAACTTCTGCTTCAATACCATCTGCAAAATCAAAAATATAAGTTAAATTTGATTATGATCATCAGTTGATAATATAATCTGATCTCCATCATAGCATTGAACTTTAACACCCTTATAGAAACTTATAAACAGAACCCTATTAGACTGCAGAGATCCTAACAGTGGCAGGCAGACTCTTCAGTTATCAGGTTTCTCTCTTATGTAACCACTTGCTAATATGGATTTAGGAGGAACACGCCCGTTTAAAGACTCGGCTTAAAACTTTCTTTGAGGAAAAGCTGAGACACTGAATGCCTTTGATTAATATCTAAAAGGCTTAAACTGCTGAATGTTAAAATATGATTGCTCCTTCTCCACATGCTTTAAAAAAAATATATATATATATTCTAGATTAATTTAAACACTAACATAACTGCAATGAACTTTTTTTCTCCTAAATCACCCCCCATCTGTTGATTGCTCCCATTCCTTCCTCGTTCATTTAAAGAGTTGGCCCAGCATCTGCTGGGACACAGCCCACATTGACAAGCAAGAGAAATGTGTGGCTGATTTACTACTGTTAGCATTTAGAGAGAATAAAGAAATAAATCTAAAAGTGAAGCCTCATTTCTCCCTCCATTTTAAAAGTTGTTTACAAACCAAATGTCGAAAAAGTAAGTCTTTAGGTTGGGCGTGATCAAGCAAAAATGAAGCACGCTGTACAAAACATATTGTTAAAGAGAAGTGAAGTAATAGAAGAAAAAATGGTTGAAGAAAAACAAAGTCCAGATGGACTTCTCTGCTGCTAAATGCAGCTTTATTGTTTAGTTGTTGCAAAGCCAGACAAAAAATGCAACAAAACATGTAATTGATTCTACACATTATCAATATTTTGTATGATACGGTGTGAAATGTTTAGTAGTAAACAAATAAAAAATATGTTGATTTCATATACATACAGCATTTATTTTGTAAACAATAACCTTCTTTGCTTTGGGTAAATACTTCAGATTTTTTTTTTTTATTACAATTGTCTGAGGCTAAGTCAACTTTTTAAACTATTAACACTTCTTAATGCTAATTGACATTAGAGCTGTCATTTTTAACTCGAACCCAGAGTCCAGCCCAGCTCGAACTGGATTCGGAACCGGGCTGGGCCATAATAATGTGCTTAATGCGCGAGCCGGGCCGGTCTCAGGCTTTGATGCTGTTTTATGAATCATACAGCACAAATAAAACTAAATAAGAATGCACAACATAAAACTGTGTTAATCTACTTGTTGAGGAGGAGGCAGGTCCAACTGGCTGATTTAAAGAGGTAAAACAATTTGCGTTAAGCTCAGATGGACAACCAGTCACCAGCCGTGCACGTCTGCTGACTCGCCATTTGAAATGGACTTGCGACATGTCCAGGGTGAACCCCACCTTTCGCACAATGATAGCTGGACATGGGCACCGGCAACCCCCGTGACCCAAAATGGAAGAAGCGGGTAAAGATAATGGATGGATGGATGGATGGATGGATCAGCCGATCACCAGCTGCGTGCATCTCCACACCTGCTGTCATCCGTGGTGAAGGAAGTAGCAGCATCTAAAAAAGCTGAAGCGAGCAGCACGTTCAATTAAAATAGACTTGTTCCATATTTTTCCAAATGATTTTGCTCTAAAAATATTTTTGTTCATCTGTGTAATAGCCTATATTTACAGTTGATTTTTTTAGGCTATTCGTTTTGCATGTTAATATCCATTTGGTGAAAAAAATCAATCTTATATCTTCCTTTCTTTGAAATGTGTTTTTAAAATATGTCAAACTGATTTGCTTACAAAAACAGTAAAAGCTTAATAAAAACAATGTAGTTTTTTTTTTTTTTTTTTTGGTCCAGGCCTGTAATTACTGTTAATTTGATCAGATTGGGTTGGGTTTGGAAAAAAATGGTCACGTGATGGGGCCGGGTCACATTTTTTAGGTCCGAATGCAACTCTGAAATTCCTAATTGAGTTTGAGACTCTGAGTACAACCGCTGCTCCTCCACATCGAGAGGAGCCAGTTAAGGTGGTTCGGGCATCTGGTATGGATATCCACTGGGCACCTCCCTAGGGAGGTGCTTCGGGCATGTCCTACTGGGAGGAGAACCCAGAGAAGACCCAGGACATGCTCTTGGTTAGCCTGGGAATGTCTTGGGGTTTTCCCAGATGAGCTGGAAGAGGTGGCTGCAGAAAGAAATGTCTGGGCCTCCGTGCTCAAGCTGCTGCCCCCGCGACCCGACTTTGGAACAAGCGGGCGGACGGACGGACGGACGGACGGACGGACGGACGGATAATTGAGTTTCATTTATGGGCATAAATCAATTTACTTAAAGTCTAAACTAACTAAACCTGCAATTCCATTTACCTCTCAGACATAGCAGCTAATAAGGTTTTAAAATCAATTGCACACATT